CATGCTGGTATCCCAGCTATCAGTCTGGGGAGCAAGAGTTCCCTGATGTTCAGGTCAGCTAGAGTTCCCTGATGTTCAGGTCAGCTGTTTCTGTGGATTTCACCAGCCTGGTCTTGTTCACTTTTCTCTTCTCTCCTCCTCTGCATCTGGATTCCAGTTCAGTTAAGTGGTTAGTTGTTAGTGTTGGCTTCTACTTCCACCATCTACTGGATGAGAGCTATCAGGTGGCATATAAGTCAGTCATCAGTGTCATTATCATGGGAGGGCATTTAAGGTAGCCTTTCCTCTGTTGCTTATATTGTTAGCTGGTGTCATCTATGTAGATCTCCAGACATTTCCCTAGTGCCTGATTTCTCTGTAAACCTAAAATGTCTCCCTCTATTATGGTATCTCCATTCTTGTTATCTTCTGTTCTTCCCCTGGCTCAACCTTTCTGCTCCCTCATATCCTCTACATCCATCCTCTTCTTACTTCCTCATTCTCATAGCTCCCTCCTCCATATTCCCATGCTCTCAATTTGCTCAGCATTTCTTTTTCTTTAGAAAGAGTTTGACTGGGCTCATTAGCCATTTATAGTCAATACCATTTAAATAAAAACAAACATTCATAAATAATACTTGGGAGTTTGGCCATAGTTCTTTCCAAACTGTGTTCTGCTGTTTGGGGGCACTGTCAATCCCAGGGGGACACCCAGAGTCATGGTCAAATTCTTGCTGTAGTAGTTTGTGAGGCTGCATGGTCTCAGCTGTTTAACATGTTGGATCACCTAGGCCACTGCTTCAGGGCATCTTGTTTGTATGGAAGGTATCCACAGCTTTTCATCTTCTATGGAAATAAGCAGAACCTCTTTTCCAAAGTAACATGTCCTTAGACTTACATTTTTATGTTGGTTTACTGGTGATGCCTGGGGCACTTGTTTCCTTGGCAGCTACATGGTGTCTCTATGAATCTGTCTACTACCTTTCTCTATCTCTGTTTGGATTTTCTGCCTAGCTAAGTCATGCCTGTTCATTGGCTGAAACTGCTTTATTCATCAACCAATAAGAGAAACATATATTCACAGCATACAGAAGAACACCACCTATCAGAAAACCCCGGCGTAAACCTACATACCTATAAACACCTGTTTTTTTGATAAAGAAGCTAAAGCTGTGTAATGGAAAAAAAGAAAGCATCTTCAACAAATGGTCCTGGCATAACTGGATGTCAACATGTAGAAGATTGCAAATAGATCCATATTTATCCCCATGCACAAAACTCAAGTCCAAGTGGATCAAAGACTTCAGCATAAAGCCAGGAACACTGAATGTGATAGAAGAGAAAGTGGGAGGTAGCTTTGAATGCAATGGCATGAGAGACTCTTCCTAAATATAACACCAGCATAGACACTGAGAGCAAGAATCAATAAATAGAACCTTCTGAAGCTGAAAAGCTTCTGTAAGGCAAAGGGCCCAGTAAATAAGATAAAACAGCTGCTTATAGCATGGGAAAAGATTGTCACCAGCCCCACATCTGACACAGGGCTTATCTCCATCTTTTAATAATTTTTTATTTATTATTCTCACACCATACATCCTGACCTTAACTTCTTTCCCCCCACTCCTCCCATTTTGCCCCCATCTTTCCTGTCCCCCAGATCCACTTCCCTTCCCTTCTTCCCCCTGAAAAAATCATGTTTTCCATCTTTTTTAATTCTCTTGTTTACCATAGGAATTTTCAAGTTAACTTAGCCTGGAAAATTCTGAGTCATTTTTACTTCTTGCTTTCTTTCTCTTTCTCCTTGTGATTAGTCAGTTAACAAGTCTTTCTTATCTTCCCATGTAGTGACTTCATCTTCACCTTTTTTCCTTATTGTCACTCCTTTAATCTTCATTATCACTTGACTGTTCTGTAGGCTTCTAGTTTTCTTCCCTCTGCAGAAGAAACTCTGGAGCAATTTAAGTATGTATTGTTAACATAACTAGTGTACAGATCAAGATTCTCCATAAATTGAATACATTTGGGACTTGTACAGCTCTGCAAAAAAATAATAACATGTGTCCCATAGTAAATGTGCCCCCTATTTTGCATTCAATGAGAATATGTGCACCAAAGTAAACAGTGTCTGTGTATTCAAAGAGGTTGAGGCATGGGGGAGCTTTTAATGGCAAAACTAGAAAAATTTATATAAGAATTCATGCCCTGGTTAGTGTAAGCCTACTACTAATGGAGGTGCCATTAAATGCTGAGTAGATGTCTATATCATTGTATCTGGTATGCTATAACAACACCGTTATAGAAATTCAAGCGTATGTGTGAGGAATGACAAACATGGGGTAAATGTAGAGCATGGAGAAAGTTCTTTTTAATAGAACATAAGTTTGGGTATGTTGTGTCTTCATTCTCATTAAATTCTAGGAAGTCTTTAATTTCTTTTTCTTTTTTATTTCTTCCTTGACCCAGGAATGGTGCAATTGTGCATTATTCAATTTCTATGCTTTCGTAGGTCTTCTGCAATTTGTGTTGCTGTTGAATTCTAACTTTAAAGCATGTTAAGACACAAGGGTTTTTCTACTTTTTTTTTGGTATCTGTGTAGGTTTGCTATGTTGCCTAGTATGTGGTCGGTTTTAGAGAAGGTTCCATGTGGCGCTGAAAAGAAGGTATATTCTTTTATGTTTGGATGGACTGTCCTAATCCTACTTGGGTCATAAATTCTGTTAGTTCTTTTGTTTCTTTGTTAATTTTCTGTCTTGTGGTCCTGTCTAGTGGTAAGAGTGGGGTGTTGAAGTCTCCTTCTATAAGTGTGTGAAGTTTTATGTGTTATTTGAGCTTCAGTAATGTTTCTTTTTAAATGTGGGTGCCTTTATATTTGGAGCAGAGATGTACAGAATTAAGACTTCTTTTTGATGGACTTTTATTGTGATGAGTATGAAATGACCCCTTCATCTCTTTTGATTGATTTTAGTTTGAAATTTAATTTGTTAGATATTAGGATTGCTACAGCAGCTTGTTTCTTGGGTCCATTTGATTAGAGAGTCTTTTTCCAACCCTTTACTCTGAGGTAGCATCTGTATTTGACATTGAGATGTGTTTCTTGTATGCAACAGAAGGATGGATTCTGTCTTCCTATTCATTCTGTTAGCCTGTGTCTTTTTATAGGCAAGTTAAGACCATTGACATTGAGGGATATTAATGACCCTTGATTGTTGATTCTTGTTTGTTTTGGATTTGTTATTGGTGGTATTATTATGTGTGGATTTCCCCCTTTTTTCTTTTGGTGTTTGGTAAAGTTGGATTATCTATTGCCTATGGTTTTTTGGGTG